TGCAATTGCAATTCCAATTCCCTCTCACTCTGTTCATTCAAAGAGATAAAAGAGGGGAGTACAACCTACATGGAGGGCAGCCTTGCTAACCTCTGAGAAACTGAAATGCTGCTGGATTACCAGGTAGACCAGAATTATGTAAAATTAAAGTAAAAGTTCTGTTAATTCTATCCATTAAACACACAACTCCAAATTTCTTAATGGGAAAATAAGCAATTTTACTGCATAATGAAGTTAATTGAAAAATCCTGGCATACTTCCTTTAGAATTTAAAGGTCAAGAGTAAAAACACAAAGATCAGTCAATAAGTTAAATGTGCATGAATTTTTCTGCATAACATAAGGAGACAGGATAAATTACTTTTTGAATCCATAAACATTCTTTTTTTTAAGGTTTGATATATTTCTCTTGTGAAAACAAAGAGTAAATATACCAAGCACATGCTGAAAACCTATGGATTTTTCTCATTGTTGTTCTAATTAAAGCCTTCAGTCCTGTACAGAATTAAAGTTCCTTACTGTCCCTCATTCCTTGGAATGTAGATTTTTAATGTACACAGCTAGGTTTCTACTTCTAAATAAAGAAAACAAAACAGAAATGAAGAGATTATCTTTAAAATTTCCAAACAAAAAGTGGATAGTCTAACTTAAATATGTATGCATGGTTTCTTTCCCAGGATGAAAAATATGTAATAGGAAAAAAAAAATCTTAAAAATAACACATTGCTTTCTGAAATCTGATTTGTCATTTATAGTAGAAAACAGAAAGTGAGACTAAATTACATATTTCAATATCAATACTTAAAAGATAAAATTTTTTTCTGTAAATTACCAAACTGATTTTAAATCTAATGATTTTACAAAATAATTATCTTAGTAGAAACTAGAAGTTCCTATGCTCTACTTAAAGAAGCACCTGCATATTCTGAAAAACATGTTGAATTTCAGTTGTACTATAACCCAACTCCTTTAATCTCTGTAATAGTGCTTGCCTAATTTTATTCTGCCTGCTCCAGAGTTACATTCAATATTTGGTCAACAATGTTGGTGAATATAACAACAATAGCCTAAATTATTCCTTTCATTTTATATCCTATGATTTTGTTGTTATTTTTCCTTATTTTTGCTATAACATAATAAGCTAATTCATTCCTTTGTCTTGGTTTTGGAAGGAATTATACTCCAACATCTAGGAAATATCCTTTCCTAATTTAAAATAACTATGAGGTTGCACACTACACTAGTAAATTTGTAATCAACTTAAAGATAATGTGTTAAAAGTACAATTAAATATGTCATAACAGAAGAAAATCCTGGTAATTACAAATAGTGCCATGCTGCTGGGTGTTTAAACAGTAGCATAAAACTATGAAAAATCGCCACCCAGTGATGCAAATGAAAACTGCAATTTGTTTTTGTGTAAAATGAGCACCCTGGAGGATTACTTCAACTTCATTACTGAATGAAGGAACAGCTATTACCTTCTTCTGTGAATACAAACTGGCTACAAGGGAAAGGATGTTTTTCTACTAGGTTTCCCCCATCCCACTCTTATTCAGCACTCTGGACTAAAACAAAGACTAAAAGCTTTGGAAATCTTAATAGGGAGAAAGGCTTTCCATCCAAATGTGAGCTAATTGTGTAGGAACAGCCCAGATATTCCTATTATCAACAAAAGTGCCTGTGCTCTGCTTGGATCCTGAATTTTAAGTCATCATGCGTTGATTTTATCAACTCAGCAATGCCATCAAATAATTGTGATCTAAAACCTATTAGCATTAATCAAAACACTAGGCTAAGAAAAGGTATTCTCAAATGGGAAAAATTAGTTCTTTTATAGCTTTAACAACATAATTGACTATCCTATACAGAAACAGGTTCTAAAGGCTACATAACAAAATAACAAATTCTGTAGAGTTCATATTGCTAAGAAGCTGTTGCTATAAATTGTTTCTAAGTCTTTACTTAGTTGTATCCTGTAAAAGTCAATAAACACAAACCCAATCAAATATACTTATTTTCCTGTAATGTACCTATTGAACATGATGCTTAATAAGAAAAAATTTAGATGGCTACATGCTAATCAAAATACATGTGTGTGCACATATATGGTGCTATGTTAATAATAAAAGTATCAAAAGTATTTCATATGTGCCATTTAACCTACTTGACACTTACCAAAATATTTTCAACAGTATGCCATCCTATTCTAAACAGAGTTTAACACACTATTTTTTTTTTTTTTAAGTCCAGGGATTGAACCCAAGGGTGCGTAACCACTCAGCCACATCCCCAGCCCTTTTTATTTTTGAGACAGGGTCTCACTAGGTTGCTTGCAGCCTTACTAAGTTGCTGAGGCTGGCTTCGAAACTGTGATCCTCCTGCCTCAGCCTCCCAAGTTACTGGGATTACAGGCATGAGCCACCATGCCCAGCTTACCATACTATTTTTAAAGAAAATTAATTAGATTCTAAATAATCTATCAGGAATTTTATCACAAATTTCAGTTAAGTCCTTAACTGTTGAAAGATTTTTTTTAAATTAACTAAACAATGAATATCACCTTTGCTCAATTTCAAGGGTATTACTGTTATTTGCAACATTTTAATACTACTTAAAGTATTAGTAAAAATAATGAGGTAGCCAAAATAAGAGCCAAACTTTATGGACAGTAATACAATAGCAATGCTCTTTTAGTAAAAATACAAAAAAAAAAAATAGTGCTTTCTCTTTTAAATAGTAGAGAATACAATTTTTTGTTGGTGGTTGGTTTTGGTGTTTGTTTTTTAAAGAGTACTTAAAAAGCTGGGCATGGTGGTGCATGCCTGTAATCCCAGCAACTCAGGAGGCTGAGGCAGGAGGATAGCAAGTTCAAAGCCAGCCTCAGCAATTTAGCAAAATCCTGTCTCAAAAAATAAAAAGGGCCAGGGAGTTTTAGAATCAAAACTGCTGATATGGTGAAAACATTCAAAATCCTTCCTTCTAGCTTTTTGAAATATACAGTATATTATCATCATCTGTAGTCATCTTACTGTGGAAATCCCCACTCAAACTTCTTGCTCCTGTTTTTCCATATGTTTAAATCTTTAAAACATATGGCAATATGACAACAACAACAAAACCACCAGCACGAATAGTCCAGTGGTTAGAAGGCTCTGAAATCAGACTGCCTGAGCTCATTCCATATCTGCTAGAGAAATTTGGAAAAGCTAAGTCCTCATCTGTATGTAGAAATAGTACCACCTCACTCACAGGCTTGTTTTAAGTATGTTACACACACTAACTCATTCAATCCTCCAGTACCCTTATGGGAAAGACACTGGTAACAGGCTTATTTTCTAGATAAGCTAAATGACACCTGGGAATGTTAAATAATTTGCCGGAGGTAGAAACTCTAATAAATGGTGGAACCAGGATGTCAACTCAGGCAGTCTGACTCCAGACTTATCTGCACTTCACTGTAGAGCCTCTAAGATGCTCCTGAGAAATAAGGGAGATGAAGAGTGAGAAAAAACAGAAGAGATGATGCTGACTGGTATCATGAAAACGTGAGGAGAGTTAAGCACACAGAATAAGAGGTCCACACCCATTTTTCATGAAAAATGGTGAAGAGATGAAGCTTTGCGCCTGGAGGGAAACAGGGCTGAACAGAGACAATCATCAGCAGAACTAGAGTAATTCTTATAAAAAGCAACACCAAGGGCCACTTCACTTGTGGTCAAACTTGTCTCTGAAATAGTCCCAAGTGGCAGGCAACAGAGATAAACATGAAGAAAATGTACACAAAGTTTTTAAGGTCTAGCATTTGAAATTGTATTGCTCTCTAAGATGCCAGTGCACCCCACTCAACATTCTTAAATGACTACAAAATAACAAAAAAGAATAATGTTGATTTCTAATAATGTAACAACAAAAAAGAGCAAAGTTCTGCATATGTCTTAATACTATGGAGATGTTAGAATGAGAAATACAAAACACAATTTGGAAAACCAGGCTTTGTTGGAAGAAATTTCTGAGAAAAGAATTTATGATGAATTTATTGTGAAGGAGATATTTCCCAGGAGGCCTGAGGTATTTGGAGTTTTTCTTTTCGTGAAACTAATTCAGAAGACGACAGGAAGGCAATGTCAGCATCTTTTAAGGCAAGTATTAACTGGAATTGACAGAACCAGTTCTAACTTTGAAAACAAGGCACAAATCCCCAACTTGGTAAGAAAGAAGGGTCAGATAAGCAGTCAGATCCAAGGGACCAGACCTTATCCCAGTCAGAAGAATGTCCACTAAAAACACCAATCCTGGTACAACTCTGACCACCCTAATCATTGCCCTGTCCCATATCTTACAAGACAAACTCAGAAAAACACAAAGTCCTTCCAAAACTTGGCTGGGAAACTTGGAAATTCTATGATAAAGTTTATCCATGAGAAAACCTCTATTCTAATTTCCCAGAGATAAAGATCAATAAATGGAAAAGAGTCATAGAGCTGAAATCCATGTACCTTTAAGCACAAGACCAAATCCTAAAGAGAAGGGATGATGAACAAGAGTCCCAACCAACCCTACTTCTATTGAATGTGAAGTAGCAGACTCCAGACTGACTGGGTCACTCCAGTCTGACAGGTAGTAAGAGGTAGAATATTTGGAAAGGAAGGCCCTGAGGAACATCCCAGGGAGGGGACCATGAGAGTCAGGGTTTCACTAAGTTGTTGACACTGGCCTCAGCCTCCCAAGGATTACACGTGTTCACCACCATGCTCAGCTAGTTTACAAATATAATTAGAAGTATGCAGCCAAACCAATGTGTAAGAAGAGTCTAATTTGGTAACACTATTCCACGTAATTGCTGAACTCTTTTTTTACAGACTTCACTTTTTAAATTATACACATAAATTCATTCTGAAATTAGTAATAAATATTTTAAAAACTAATCATAATTATCAAGTACTTTTTAAGGGAAAAACAATTCATCTAATTATGATCTTGTTTCTTAAAAAGACTCACCTAAGAGGACAAATCCATCTGCTTCTGTCTCTGGAACTGAGGGTTTCTTAGATTCTGAAGGCTTCCTGAAGAAGTGAAACATTGCTGCTGCCACTGCTGCTATCTGAAACAGAAATGCTATATAACATTAAACGCAGATGAAACTGTAAAATTCATAATAACTACTCACAACATAAAACTGTAAATATTGCAATAATTACTCTTAGGAATCATATTGCCAGACACTGGACCATGAGTCGTCTCTGGGTATCAGAAGCCAAAACTAGAAATTAAGGAACACAAACTTGTAGTCTAGAACAATGTGCGCCTTTCAATCTGCAATGCAACCTCTCAATTTCTGAAGATTCAAAATATCCAAGAAATTGCCTCATGTAAAACTAAAACCAACAGCTACTGCCAGAATCTGGAAAGATTTCACTAGCCATAAAACACTAGCTTTTTCATCCTATAACTAGCTAAAGACTCATAAAACTAAGGCCACACATAAAAAGAGGTTCAAACAACCTCTGCTGTTGGTTACCTGATTCAGTCTCAAAGAGTATACAAATTATAAAACTGCAGCCAACTTTAAATTACCAGATCTTTGTGTTGGTGAGATCACTGTCCCTGACACACACACACACACACACACACACACACACACACACACCCTCTCCTCCTACTCTCATCTTTGCACATTCAAGGAGGGCAAAACTTCCAGAAAACAAGTGGGATGAAAGCTGAAGGGTAGTTTGCAAGAACACATTACATTTTGAGCACAGTCCCTTATAAGGAGAAAAACATAAGAGAAGGCAAAGAAAGGATGACTCCTGGTGGCAATAAGCACTCAACATTTTAGTTTACATAAATTCCACCCATACCAGAAAAATTGAGACTAGGTAAGATATAACCTGAGTGAAAGCCTTCTAGAAGCTGAGAATTTAATTGGGATTATATAGGCTCCCTGAACTAAGCAATAGATCCATAAGGGTATTAACTCCAACGTAAGTGGGTAAAAGGAACATATTTGTTTACAGACAACACGGTTGTCAGATTTCACTTTTAAAAGGAACAAAACAAAAAGAAGAAAAACACCATCCATGAGAAAAAAGAAAAATATTCCCGTAAAGGAAAAAGAAACAGCTTCTGAAATCCTCAAAGAAGGGCTTGGTGGATATAGTGACAGAGCCAAAGAAAAAGCTCTAAAAATAGTTTGGCACTCACTCTAGAGTACAAGGAGGCACAGCCTCCATGAAACTGGTGGAAAAAGAAGATTAGATGAAAATGCAAAAGGAAAAAATGAGCCAATAAAAGTCAGATTTTAAAAAGTAACTAAGACAAAGAGAAACTCATGCAAGGAAAACATGAAGTCAGAATAGTACCATTTGATTTAAAAGCAATTAAGTAAGAAAAGAATTCAAAACCAAAGATATAAAGGATAGGAATAGAACAACCATATGACCCAGCTATTTCATTCCTCCATTTATCCTAAAGTATTAAAGTCAGAATACTATAATGATACATGCATACCCATATTTATAGCAGCACAATTCATAACAGCCAGCCACAAAGGATCAGTCAAGGTGTCCCTCAACAGATACTTATCTGGATAAAATTACTGTGAACAAAATACCTGACCAGAACAATTAAAGGAGGAAAAGTATTAGTGGTTCATAGTTTCAAAGGTCTTAGTCCATAAATGTCTGACTCCATTGCTCTGGAGCCATGACTAAAGGATGGGGTAGCAGGGAGCAGAGGCAGTGCTCATCTATAGCAGCAGAAAACAACTAGAGAGAAAGGAAAGGGCCACAGGGAAAATGAACCCTTCCAACCATGTCCCATCTGCCTATAAGTTACCACCATTCCATCCATTTAAACTAGAATGAACTGATGAGGTTACACCTCTCACAATTTCATCTCATCTCTGAATATCCCTACATATTACACCTCATAGCCAAACCACAAAGAAGTATACATACACGATGCAGTTTTATTCAGCCATAAAGAAGAAAGCAATTACGTCATTTGCAGGAAAATGGATGGAACTTAAGAACATATGTCAAGCAAAATAAGCCAAACACAGAAAGTCAAAGGTCATTATGTTTCTCTCATACATATGAGAGAAAAAAGAAAAAAAGAAAAACACAGGGTGGGGGAAATCTCAGGAAAATAGGAGGGATCCCAACAGAGTAAATGAAGGGGATTACAGGGGAATGGAGGAAAGGGAAGTTATCAGGGAATGAAACTGCCCAAATTATATTAGTATGTTGTAGGCATGTACAATTATATAAAAATTAATCCCACTGTTATGTATAGTTTTAACACAAAAATAATTTTTTTAAAAGTTAGACTTTTTAGATTGGAAAAAGCAATCACTTTTCAGCTCCAAACACTTAAAAATAAAACTGAGAAGGCCTTTGAAGTAAAAACAGCTGATTAAAACTCAACCTCAGTAAGAATCAAATCAAAGCCATACCTGATATTAAAACTCAGCACAAACTAACATGGCACTCAGTAAATTCTTGTGCTTAGAAGAACCTGGTCCAAGAAAAAGAGACTAAAGGAGTCGTCTCCAACTAGAACCCTAATAGAGCCAAGGAAATATGAGCAGAGGTGGCGGTGGTGGGCGGGGGGGATGAGAAATACAGGAAATATCAGAACTACATCAAGCAAAAATTGTAGCTCTGGCTATTGTGACGCCTGAAGCTGAATGCAGTCAAATAGAAAAGAAGCCAACAAAATTTTAAGAATTGTACTAAAAAAATAACTATTAGTCTGGATTTAAAAAGGACTATGATGATTGAATATTTAAGACAACCAATAGGTGGCAGTTTTCTATAGACAAGAAGCTACAGAGAAAATTACTCAGCTTCCAAGGAGGGCTTATTCTCCAGTGCTCACTTCAATTGTAACAAGAAGTTGCTAGAAAAAAAAGAACTCCAGGAGGACAGAGCCAATGGGCATGGAAAAGAATGGACATAGAAGTTTCTCCCAAGAAGAATCTGGACATAATTAAGGAACATTCTCCAACCCAAGACAGGGGTTGCCCAAAATGCCTGCCCAGTGGGAACTGTCAAATTGCTATAGCGCTGTGACTGATATATACCTCTGATTCTTCCTTTTTCTGAATGGAATTGTTTTGGGCAATTATCCTTCCTAGTTGCACCACGGTGTCAGAGCATGAGCAGGATATAATGCCTGACACACTGTAGGAACCTAAAATATATCAGAGGTATTTTTAGTCATCCACCCCCTTATCTTATATACCTTAGCCGTTTGGTTCTGAAGTCTTCAGAGCAACAGGTGCCACATCGGAACTAAGGGAAGGTCTTTTTGCACACCACCCAGAGATACTGAGCTTTGAGCTTGATGTTGTGAATGAATGAGGTAATTTCAGAAAATGTTCTTGGGGAGAGTTGAGTGATTATGCCTACAGTAGGAAGAGAGATATGAACACACTGTGAACACAAAAAAGAACCATGGGATCACTAATGCAGTTCATCACTTCTGGGTTGTTTGTTTAGTTTTTGTTTTGGAGGGTACTGGAGATTGAACTCAAGGGTATTTGACCACTGAGCCATACCTCCAGCCCTATTTTGTATTTTGTTTAGAAACAGGGTCTCACTGAGTTGCTGAGCACCTCGCTTTTGCTGAGGCTGACTTCCAACTCTCGATCCTCCTGCCTCAGCCTTCTGAGCCATTGGGATCACAGGTGTGTGCCATGGCGCCCAGCTCCAGCTCTGTTTTGTGGAGACAAAAATAAGGCAATTTTCTACCTTCCTAGGAATCAGGTGTGGCCATGTGATTTGCTTTGTTCATTGTGCCTCATGCTATTAGAGTGCTGTAACAAGGAGTTATACGGACACAGAAGGAGAGGGCCCTTAAAAAATGGTTCCCCTTCTAACATATAAATAACAGTCTTTTGATAGAAGAACATAAATTTCCAATACCTTTGCATATCTGGCCATAAAATAAAAATGGAACAAACATGGAAATCACAAAAATGACTCTGATAAGCTATTCTCCAACCCCAAAAGTTTACATACATTTTGAGAAAAGTCAGAGCAAACTCAGCTGTAGTGCAACAGAGCATCTTGTTTTGTTTCATTTTGTGATACTGGGGTTAAGACCTGGGACCTCATGCCTGCTAGGCGAGTGTTCTACCACTGAGCTACACTCCAGCCCAAGAATCTCTTTTTTTCTGGGTGTGGTAGTGCACACCTGTATTCCCAGGTACTCTGATGGCTGAGACAGGAGGATAACAAGTTTAAGACCCTGTCTCAAAATAAAATTTTAAAAAGGGCCGAGGATATAGCTAAGTAGTAGGGCACCTGGATAGTATGCGCTAGGACATGGATTCAATCCCCAATACTGCAAAAAAAAATATATATATATATATTTTAAAATATATTTTGTACAGAAGTTATAACTTATGTAATTAAATAAAACAGTTACATTTTTCATGATCTAAAACATCATATTTAAACAAAATGCATTGCAGTAGTTTGTTAGATAGTATGACTGGTAAATCATAACATTTCAATCTGTCCCTCTAGAACATCAGAACATTATAGAATCCCATACACATTATAGAAGGAGGGATAAGTTAGGTTCTAAATGTGCAGAAATAAGGAAAAGAGATCAGAGACCATGCAAAAGAACTAGAATGACATGAAGATAACTTTGCTACAACATCTGCTGGAAACAGCTTTGAAATTGTTACAGAAGTATTAATCACCCTTCTACCTACCACTCAGACAATCTGACCATGTTCTGAAGACATTTACCTTAATTCTTTTCTCAACTGCAGTTGATTTAAAGATTTTTTTTTCATGGGAACATGAATTATCTTTATCCTATTGTATTATTTTCATAGCCTAGAAAGCAAATAGTAGTATAAAAATGTAACTCTGGGAGAGGGCAAACAAACATCATTCAAAGATCTTCCCTCTGTGAGTGGTCATCAATCCAGTAGCCAGGTTTAGTTCCTCTTCCTAACTAGTAACTGTAAAGAAAAGGGGGAATAACTATAAATACCTCTGATATATATAGGTTCCTACAATGTATCAGGCACTATATACTAAAATGGCTTATACATGCTACCCTACTTCTTATAATCCTTAT